TAGAGGCACTCTGAACAAACACTCAAATAATTTGTCAAATTAAGTGTTTATTCATGTATATTTATACAAAGTACAAACATTCTTTGCCCACCGGTGACTGAAGCACAAAAGAAGTTGTTTTCTGGTTGCTTAGGGGTTTAATATCCGTCTGAATAGAGCCACTGTGGCCTGGTTGTGTTTTCTCTCTGCTCTGTTGGTTTTGTTAGTGCATACTCGTTAAAATATGATGACGAGCTTATTATAGCACTGTCATGATATCTTCTTCAGAGCGTGACACAGAGGTTTACGTTCTTTAATCATTTACCTTATGTGCAATTTCCATGTATTATTGATCCGCACTTTAAGCAGAAAGGAAGATTTCACTCACAGACTCTTATTTACGTGTTTTTTTATTAGAATTTTTACTATTAGTGTCATTATTAGCATCATTAGTATAAGCATCATTAAGCAAACATCAAGTAAGCATGCAGTATTTACAGTCGTTCTTCAATTACGCTCCATCGTCTGTATATGCAAATGTTACATTATACACACATATTCACATCAGGATGCTCGAGAGCTTCAGATACCAACACAAACAGTCTGGATCTGTGAGATCAGCCTCAAAACAGTGTCTAAAATTTACTGGGGTGTCATTATGATCGATAACATGACGATGATGGAACTACATGAATAATGGGAAAGTAAAGGAAGACATGGACAGCCTTGCCATCAAATACAGGTCAGTTTGCAGGTCAGAATTGAAATAGAAGAGCTAAACAAACAGGTTATTGATCAGGTAATTGTGGTCTGTTTTAGATGGATTTCTAGACGTATGAAGTCTTTGGCTTACATGTTTGGCACTGTCATCATCATTCTCTCCTATTCGCTGGAACAGAGATTATTTATTAGAAATGCATGAAAATTTCACATGGAATGTATTAAGCTGCTTTCTAATACTGGTGTGAATATAACAAAACCTTGCAGGGATGCTAATAAAATCTAAATAAAGTTCATGATTGTGTCATACAATGGGAATCATTAAATAAAAATGCTTTCTATTAATTCTGAAATGCATCTGTGTTATTTTAGTATTAATGAGATACTATTATATTTTTAATAATACTTAGAATTTGTTTTTATATTTTCATTTTAGCTAAAGTTTTAGCAATTTTATTCAGTTTTTTTTGTCATTTTTATTACTTTTAGTTTTTTATAATGTCTATATAGTTTATTTTATAATTGTATTTATATTTGAGTTATTTTTGCACATCAAGTCAAACTAAATGAAAATGAGAAATGTTTTTAGCTGCAATAGTTAAAAAAAAAA